TGAGACAGGCCCCTTAGCTGAGAGTCAGCACAAAAACAGGGACGTCAGTCCTCCAATCACAAGGAACTGGATTCTGCAACATGAGTGAGCTTGGAAGTAGATTCCTCCCAATCAGAGCCCAGTGGGCCAACGTCTGATTTCAGCTTTGCAAAGCCCAGGGCAGAAAATTCCGTTGAGGTTGCCCAGACTTCTGATCTACAGAACTGTGAGAGAATAAATGTGTGTTGCTTTAAGCTGCCCAGTTTTGGGTGCTTTGCTACAAGAGCAGTAGAAAACGAATTCATTTGGACTGTATTCCCCTGTATGAATGCCCCCAATTGATGTACACCTCTATTATGATGGATATTTGGGGTGTTTCTATCTTTTTTTGCCATCATAAATGTCCATGATTATTCCTTTGGATAAGTTCCTTGATGTTAAATTGTTACGTCAACATGGTTTTTTGAGACTTTTGGCACATATTGCCAGATTGCTCTCCAAAAAGGCATAACCAGTCTTTATAAAGTCTGCCATCCCCACTCACTGCCAGGTATATATAATACCCCTTCACCTACACTGAGTCTCATTATTATTTTTAATTTTTATCATTGAGAGAGAGAACTTAATACTTCCTATTGTTTTAATTCTGCATTTCTTGGACAGCTAGAGAAGCTAAGTATCTTTCATTAAGTTTAATGATAGCTTTTCATTTTTTGTGACTTGCTTTTGCTAGGTGTTTTTGCCTTCCTCTTGTTGATTTTTAACAGTTCTTTACATATTAAGGTTGTTATCCTCTGCACAAACTCCCTAGGAGTAAGAGACAGGAATGGATTCTGCCAGGGACACACTTGGCACTGGATGTTTGGCCCCAGGATCCCCATTCTTCAAAGGAACCATGGTATTGAACAGCAGGAAGAGGCTAGACAGGTAGGGGGAGAGGAAGAGTGGCAAGCAAAGAAGAGAGAAGGTTCAGAGCTGAAATTTTCAAAGGCTGTGAGTGGCAGAACCTTAATGAGAGGCAGATGGAGGAAACAAGGTTGCCCTTGCTGACAGGAGGAGGTCAGAGGGCACAGAGGTTTCTAAAAATAGGAGCCTGGGCGACAGGCAGGCGGCAGGACCTGGCTCCATAGTGTGGTGCCCAAGGGCTGTGAGAGGGCAGGGGTCAGCTAGTCTCTCCTGCTGACCCAGACCCTGTCAGGCACATGGCTGGAGGATTTGCAAGGATGCTTGACCCCCAGATCTGCAGTCTCAACCTAGCTGTGCAACCTTGGACAAACCCCCAACTCGCTCGAGGCTCTTTCCTCACTTAAAAAAAAATGGAATGCAAACGTTGTTGTGGGATGCTGATGAGTTTATTGTGACTCCCAACTCATAGTGACCCCATGTGACAGAGTAGAATTACGCCCATTGATTGAGATTTCTTGGCTGTAATCTTCACGGAGGCCAATCTCCAGGTTTTCCTCCTGCAGAGTGTAGGATGGGTTCAAAGCGTCAATCTTACAGCTAGCAGCAGAGCACTTAGCCATTTGCACCACCAGAGGGCATCATGGAGTACAGGTTGTTGTTGGTGTTGTTAAGTGCTGTTGAGTCGGTTCTGACCCATAGCAACCCTGTATAGGGTTTCCAAAGAGCAGCTGGTGAACTTGAACCACCAACTTTGCAGTTCAAACTGCTTTGCAGTCTGGGGCATTAACCCACAGTGCCACACCAGGACTCACTGGGTACTGAATGTTTGTTCCTCTGCAAAGAAACCCTGGTGTTGAGCAGCAGGCTGGGGACTGAGGGATAGTGACAAGCAAAGGGTTCCATTCTAACAACGCTGACATAAACTGAATCTCTCTCTCTCTCTCTTTTTTTTTTTCCTTTTATTGTCAGTATCTTTATGAAATAATAACATTATCAAATCACAAGCTGCAACATTGCATGTATAACATTTTTTTTCTAACAATGTTGTTATTGTTAAGTGTTGTCGAGTCAGTTCCCACACCTAACAACAACAACCTATGGTAGTTGGTTGGTTATGTGCCATGGGGAGTCAGTTCTGACTCATAGCGACTCTGTACAGGGTTTCCAGGGCTGTAAATCTTTACAGGAGAAGAAAGCCTCATTTTTCTCCTGTGGGACAGCTGGTAGTTTTGAACTGCTCCTGCTTAATAGAAATTAATAAAATAAGCATGCCAAGCATCTAACATACAAAAAACCAAACCCAATGTGTTACAGAGTAGAGGCTGCTCTGTATAAGTTTCTGACTCTAACCTTTAAGAATGCAGATTGCCAAAGTCCTTTTCCATATCTGCCCTCAGTGTCCTCACCTGTATCCTGAAGCATTTGTGGATCAGGTGAGATAAGAACTATGAAGTCCCTGGGTTGGCTGTGGGTTATTGCCCTATTCAGGACCCTGGGACCAATTTATTTATGGTGGGAAGTTTCCCAGGAATTAGGATCAACCCTTAAAACATGGGCAGGTATTTTCACCTCCTCCTGCCCGCCCCCCCCCCCCCCCCAGCAGTTGGGTAATGCCTGGGGCAAACGAAATGCAACAGGAATAAGTGTCTCATTCAGATCTAGGTGACCAATTTCATTTAACAAGACAAACTGGGAATGCCCATTTTTACCTATGTGAGCAAATTTCTCTGTTTCATTAAAGAAGATACTTCTTTGCTGGCACAACAGCCAAAGCAAAAATGTGTTTGGAATTGTGAACCCTGCAATCTGGGGTTCCTTCTAGGAAGTCTGAGGCTAAAGGGGCTTAACAACTTCCCAATTCTCTTCATTCCTTCTGCAGGTAATGGAGGGAGAGGCAAACGAGGGTGTTTTGAGGGCCTGGTGGGAGTTTTGACGGCTTTTGATCTGCACAACTTTGGAAGCTTAACAATAATGTTCTTGTTGTTAAGTGCTGTCAAATTGTTTCCGACTTATAGGGACCCTGTATAGGGTTCCCAAGGAGCAGCTGGTGAGTTTGAACCACCATCCTTGTGGCTCAAACCAACCTTCAGATCCAGTGTTTTATCCCACAGCGCCACACCAGGACTTCTCCAATAATGGTGGTGGTGGTTCTGTGTGGTGGAGTCGGTTCCAACTGCGTAGGGTTTCCGAGGCTGTAAATCTTTAAGAGAGCAGAAAGCCTCATCTTTCTCCCCCAGGAACCGCAGGTAGTTTTGAACTGCTGACCTTGAGACTAACAGCACGATTCATAACCACTATGCTACCAGAGCTGCTTCTTACAATAATAATGGTCAGCAATTATCTAGCCCCACCTCCTGCAATGTTGGGGAGAGGGGTGGCTCTGTACAATAAGCACTGGACTTCAAACCACAAGGTCAGCGGCTTGAGCCTATAGCCACTCCATAGGAGAAAAAAAAAAATTAGGCTTTCTGCTTCTGCAAAGATTTACAGCCTCAGAAACTGCATACAGGATGACTGGAAGGCACTTAACAGCATACTTGACCCAACTGTGTTTCCATAGCTGGACTTGGGCCTGCTCTAGATTGGTTTTTCTTGTGAAGTCTGGTTTGTTCATGGTGGAAACCTTATACTGCCCATCTTGGTGTAGTGCTTCAGGATAGTGCACTAGATCGCAAGGTTGGTATGAACTGCAAGGTCAACGGTTCAAACCCACCAGCCACTCCTCGGAAACTCTAGACAAGTTCACTGAGTTGGAACCGACTCCACGGCGTTTAACAACATAATAAGCTACATCAAGTTGCCTTTAAATATGTCTGTAAACTTTTTTTTTCTTTTTCTCATCTTGTATCGTTTGGCAGGTATGGGTGCCAGAGAGGCTCCCAACCTCGCATGGCGGGTGAGCAAAGCTGTGATGTGAACCGCAGGTGCTGGAACATATCTTCGTAACCAACTTTCCAAAATTATAGACATCAGAGCTCGGCTATAGAATGGATAGTGCTATGGCTCAAATACAGTGGTTCCAGGTTTTCCTTCCTTCCTAATTCGACTTCATCCTGCATTTATTTACAGAACTCTTAATCCAGGAATCCTGTTGTTGTTTTAAGTGCAGTCTGAGTCGGTTCCAATTCATAGCGACCATGTATAGTGTTTCCGAGGAGCAGCTGGTGAGTTTGAACTGCCCACCTTGAGGTTCAAACCGACCTTGCGGTCTAGTGCTTATCCTACAGCGCTACACCAGGACTCCTCAGGATTCCTGTTGTTGTTGTTGTTAAGTGCCATCGAGTCGGTTCCGACTCACAGCGACCTTTATAGGGTTTCCGAGAAGCAGTGGTGAGCTTTAGCTGCCAACGTTGAAGTTCAAACTGACCTTGCAGTCCAGCTCATTAACCCGCAATAGCACACCAGGACTCCTAGGTTATTGTTTCCATGTTACAGATGAGGAAATGAAAATGTTCTTCAAGGCAGAAAATGTGAGGAGCAGGAAGCCAGGCTGAGCCAGGAACTCCCAGGGATAAAGAACTGTCTTCACTGCCCACGGGGTGGTTGGGAGTGTGGAGAGACGAGGGTTTTGCCATTCCATATTCAGCTTGCCCGCCAGGGGAGATGCGCGGATAGGGAGGCGGGGTTAGGGGCGGGAAGCCGAAAGCCAGAACAAGAGGAAAGATGCCGAGGTCTGATTCGAACAGCGCTGGACTTGTGGGACCTCGGGGCTCGAAGCCCCACCCCCTGCCCTGGAATGCTGGCAGTTCCCCGGGCCTGGGCGCTCAATAGGCGGAACTCGGACGGCGCCCAGCGGCTGCGGACGGGATCGCAGGAGGGGTCTAGGTTGGGCTGGGACAGGAAGAGGCGGGCCCCTCTTGGCTCTGGTTTGGCTGCAAGTCTTTGCCGGGTCACTCTCCCGGGCCGTCCCAGGGTGGCGCTCCAGAACACGCCTTGGTCCTCCGAGTACACTGAGGGCGCTGTCGGCACCTAACTCTATCTACTGGGTAAGTGCGAGCCGGAAGCCCAAGCGCCCCTTCCGGTTTGGTATAGCGGGTTGGACGGTGGATCGGACCGGGCGTAGGCTCAGCGCTGTAGCAGCATAAACGCGACCAACTAAGGCAAGGCTAGGCTCGCGGCCACTGGAAACCGCTCACTCGGCGTGTTGGCCTTTACGAACAGCGCGGCTCTTGCAGCACCCGAGGGCCGCCGCCATGCCGTTCCTGCATGGTTTCCGAAGGATCATCTTCGAGTACCAGCCGCTTGTGGACTCGATTCTAGGCTCCCTGGGGATCCAAGACCCAGAGCGGCAGGAGCCCCTAGACGGGTAACTCGTTTCTTTCCTGAAGGAGGGCCCGGGCCGCTCGGACCCAGCGCTGCTTTTCTTTATAAATGTCACTACGAGCTGGTGGAGCCGGGAGGCCGGAATTGCGTGGTTTCTAAGGCGAGCTCTTCCACGCTGACCCATATTGTGTGTCTTAATGGTGACGGGTGCTCCCAGCCAGTGCTGGGGAAGGAGGGGGAGGGAAAGAGGGCCAGCCGGAGGGTGGAGTGTCGGCAAGGCCTCCACCTTTGGGCGGTACCCTGTGCACTCCTCTGCCGGTTGCCCTCCACTTGGAGGGTGGAGTCTACGAGGATCTTATTTTCACCCATGCACACACATGAAGTTTTTGTAGCTGACTTTGTGTTTTATATACTCGAACAGGTCTGTTTATAAACTTATGGGAAAGGCGTTTAAAAGTGAACATCCATCAGTTAATATGCGCTAGTTAATATCAGTTAATATCCATCATTTTACTATGCGCTAGGGGTACATCTAGGAGTCCTGGTGTGGCGCTCTGGGTTAATGCGCCAGACTGCAAAGTCATTTGAACTGTAAGATCAGTGGTTCAAGCTCACCAACTGCTCCTCGGAAACCCTATACAGGGTCGCTATGGGTCGGAACCGACTCTACAATACTTCACAACAACAAGGGGTACATCTAGGAGTCCTGGTGTGGCGCCGTGGGTTAATGTGCCAGGCTGCTAAGCCGTTTGAACTGCAAGGTCGGTGGTTCAAGCTCACCAGTTGATCCCCAGAAACCCTATACAGGGTCGCTATGGGTCGGAATCGACTTTACGGCACTCAACAACAGGGGTACATATGAACCGGGCTGTTAATCTTATAATAGGCCGTTCAAACCCACTCTACGGATGAAAGGTGAAATTGTCAGCTCCTGTAAAAATGTACCATTTCCAAAACCCTAAGGCGCAGTTCTACTCTGACTTAAAGGATCGCTGTGAATTGGAGTCTCTTTGATGGAGGTTTATGCTTCAGAGGAGAGCGACTGCCAACAATCCTAAGTAAATGGTTTGGTGTGTTAGGTGCGGTGGAGAGCAGATGAAAAGGAGATCGGGGTGATGGGAATCTTTTGGAATTGTAGGAATGTAGGATTTTTTCATCACAACGTCAGCTCTGCTGATGTTGAAGCTTGCTGTGGAAATGTGTGCAAGTGTTTCCTTGACTCTGGTCATTCTGGTTGGGATAGGGCAACAAAGGGGGCTGCATGGCCTTTTTTTTTTTTTCTCCCCAGTAGCCGCAGAGATCATGCAGGAACTCTGTTCTAGAAGGTTAGTTTTGCATCATCCATAGTGTTCTGGGCACTCTCCAGGATTGGGATGGGTGGGAGTAGGGGATGAGATGGAGTCCTGTCCATACAGTAAGGATCAAAACCGGAACCAGCCAATTGAAGGGATGCCGATGGTGCCGCTGAGAGGGGAAGAAAAACCTTCCCAAGAGGGTTTAGCAGCAGCCTGAGATATGAGAACTTCGTGCAAAGGCAGGCACTGTCCACAGGCCTGAGCTCTTGGGGAAAGCGTGCTGTTCTTGTAGTCAGTGCTGGCCAGGAGCATGGTAGCTCTGTAAGATAAACACACTGGACTCCTAACCACTTGGTCAGTAGTTGGATTCCACCATTTGCTCCATGAGAGAAAGATGAGCATTTCTGTACCCACAAAGATTTGTAGCTTTGGAAACCCTATACGGACTCCTGGTGTGGTGCTATAGGATCAGCACTGGACTGTGAACCACACGGTTGGCAGTTCAGACCCACCAGCTGCTCTTTGGAAACCCAATACATGATCGCTATGAGTCAGAACCGATTTGATGGCACTTAACAATAACAACAAAGTCTATACAGAATTGCTGTGAGCCGGAACTGGGAACCTACTCGATTGCACTTAACACTAATTTAACGGGGCTGGGGATTTGGGGAGGTGAGACTGGGGAAGTAGGTGGGTTGGGGCTGGAGTGCGAGGACTGGGAGGCTAAGAGCCTTTTGTGAGGTGAGGAGAGGGAAGGGCCACTGCTCCTTGACCTTGAGAGCTGCCCTGACAGGTCTAATGTCCTCTGCTGCTCAGGGACAGTCAGTGTCTTTGAGTGTGAAGGACTTTTTGAGGAAGGATTGTCAGGGTCTGGTTCTGACTTACAGATTCGAGGGTTCACCTTAGTCCTAACAGCCTGTGTGTGAGCTTTTTATACCCAGGTCAAGAACAAAAATCGCCAGGCTAGTTGGGAACCTGGTTAGGAGAGTGAGACAGACTCAGTTTTTTCCATTAACAAATCCAAGAACTCTGCCCCAGCTTGGCCCTCTCTGAGTCATCAACCGCTGGAGAGAGGTTTTGTGCTGCACAGAGCCTGGGCCCCTGCCTCTGGGGTTGATGACCCCACGGGAGAATGACCACCAGCTGGGTGGTGGGCTCTTTGCCACAGGGTATCTATGCCAGCTGGTTCCACAGCTGTTCCCACCCTCACCTGCCCCAGGCCCAGCTGTGTCGCCAATGAGGAGAGGCGAATTCTTGTTCTCACTGAATTGCTGGAGAGGAAGGCCCACTCCCCATTTTACCAGGAAGGCGTGAGCAATGCCCTGCTGAAGATGGCTGAGCTGGGGCTGACACGGGCAGCAGATGTCCTCCTACAGAACGGGGCCAACCTCAACTTTGAAGGTCAGCTGGCTCCTAAAGGGGCTAGGGGTGGGCATTGGGATTGCTGGCCAGACCATATTAAAACCCTGCTTTTACTGCTCTCTTAGGAGCCCTGGTGGCGCTGTAGGTTAGGTGTTAGCTTGTTAACCTAAAGGTTGGTGGTTCAAACCCACCAGCCGCTCTATGGGAGAAAGATGAGAGGCTGTCTGCTCTTGTAAAGACTTAAGAGTTTTGGAAACCCTATATAGGTTCACTAAGGAGCTCTGGTAGTGTAGTGGTTACACATCGGCTGCTAACCTCAAGGTCGGCAGTTCGAAACTACCACCTGTTCTGCTGGAGAAAGATGAGGCTTTCTGCTCCCGTAAAGATTTACAGCCTCGGAAACCTTGTGCAGGGTCACTATGAGTCAGAACCAACTCCAGGTACTTAACACATAGGTTCACTATGAGCCAGAATTAACCTATTGGCAGTGGGTTTGGTTTTTATTGTTCTCTCAGGAGCTCCTGCTCATTTTTTTAATGGAGTTACGACTAGAGGCCTACATTAGGTGGCATCCCACCATGGAATGCCCCTGCCTTTCAAGGACTCTCTACCACTTCTGTTCCAAGAGCACGTTTGTTGCCCTTTCTCCTGTGTGGTTGGTTTAAACCTTTCCCCAGCTCCCAGAGAAATCCCAGCTTCCATTTATGTGAAAATGTGACTGCTGGCACTATGCCCAGAACTAAGGAAAGGGAATTTTCTGCCACTTCTTGTGAGCTGTCTTGGATTTTCATTCGTGTCACAGGGAGAGGAGAAAGCATTGGGCTGAGGGCACGGCAGGACCATGGTGGTCACTAGCTCCTAGGTGTGGGGATGGAGATGGAGCCGCTCTCCTTTCCTCTCTTTCACGCAAGAGGACAGGGCTGGCCCAGATAGGGAGTCTGCTGACGCGGGGATACACTCAGGCATGCCTTCCCTCCTCATCTGAGAGGCTCAGAGGCTGCTGGGCTCCTGGAGAGGGAAGGAGCTGAGGAAGGAGGGCCTGTTTAAAATCAGACCTTTGATAACTTGACTGTTACACTGCCAAGCTCAAAGACCAAGACAGCCAAAGAGCTGTTGCTCCGTGTTCCTTCCAGTACCCTGCAAAGGGATGCCCTATCTTATGGCCCCATTTTACAGAAGAGGAAGTGAAAGCCCAAACGGGTTAAGTAATGTGCCCCCTAGGATACCCCAGTACCTGAAGTGACTGTAATGTCTGGTGAGGACAGCTATTCTGTCCTGGCCCCTCCTGGTGATAGAAGCCTGTGCCTGTGGCTTCTGGGGTTTGACATAGGAGGCCAGGCCCTGGAATTCTGCAAGAATGTGCCAATAGGCAAGACCATCCATGAGCTGTGTCTGTACCCTCAGACCCGGTCACCTACTACACTGCCCTGCACATTGCTGTCCTACGAAACCAGCCCGACATGGTGGAGCTGCTGGTGCGCCATGGGGCTGACATTAATCGGAGGGACCGGGTAAGCACCCAGGTTCAGCCTGCTTCGAGGGGGGCAATTGTGGTGGGAACCTCCAAACCAATGTGGCTTGTGCTCTCTTGGTTCAGATTCACGAGAGCAGCCCCTTGGACCTGGCCAGCGAGGAGCCAGAGCGCCTGCCCTGCCTGCAGCGCCTCCTAGACCTTGGAGCAGACGTCAACGCAGCTGACAAGCATGGTGGGTTTTCCACAAGAGCAGCAGGACCAGTCCTGGGCCTCATCTCCTTGTGAGGGTTACCCAGGTCTGATGGTTACGATAGGCAGGCTAAATACTAGCCAGTTGAAGTGCATTGTGTGACTTGGCGCACTGGTGGATTTTGCTGACTTCCCTGAGTTCAGAAGCTTCAGAGAGGCAGTGCCCTCACTGTCCCCATGCTGGCTACTGGAAGACTGTCATGGTAGGTGGGAAGGTGGAATGGGTGCACTCAACTTCTGAGGGAATGAGGATTTCCTGTTGGGAGACCCAGGTCTTAGGTTAGCATCTGTGTCCAGAAAAATCCTCCATATCTCCTGGCCCTGCAACTCCCATTTTGTGCAGGTAGAAAATCTGTTACCCTGTGCTTAGCACAGAAGTCAAAGCCTTTTTCAAGTTTCATTTTTTTTGGTCGTCTTGGTGTCTGTTTCCATCTTCATCTTTGGGGTTGCCGTGATCCCTTGTATTCTCTCCCCACCACCAGGAAAGACTGCCCTGCTCCATGCTCTGGCCAGCAGTGACGGAGTGCAGATCCACAATACTGAGAATATCCGGCTCTTGCTGCAAGGAGGTGAGGCTTCTCTCCTAGAGGAATCTGGTTCCAGGCCTCAGCTTCACACAGCACCCGCCTTTAAAGATTGATTGTTAATTGGCAAGGGTATAAGGCCTTCTCTCATCATCTGGTCTCCTAATGACTTTTCTAGGGGCAGACGTCAAGGCTACCACCAAAGATGGGGACACTGTGTTCACATGCATCATCTTCCTGCTGGGTGAAACAGTGGGAGGGGACAAAGAGGAGGCCCAGCTCATCAACCGCTTCTGCTTCCAAGTAACACAGCTACTGCTGGCTCACGGGGCAGACCCTAGTGAGTGCCCGGCCCATGAGTCCCTCACCCATATCTGCCTCAAGGGCTTTAAACTGCATTTCTCTCTCCTGCGCTTCCTGCTGGAGTCTGGAGCCTCCTACAACTGCTCACTCCATGGGGCGTCCTGCTGGTCTGGCTTTCACATCATCTTTGAGAGGCTCTGTTCTGAATCAGGCTGCACCGATGAGGAAAGCCAGCTGGACCTCCTGCACAAAGCTGAAAGTGTGCTGGACCTCATGGTGACTAACTCCCAGAAACTCCAGCTGCCTGAAAACTTTGACATCCACCCTGTGGGCAGCTTGGCAGGAAAGATCCAGGCCCTGCACTTCTCCTTAAGGCAGCTGGAGAGCTACCCTCCCACCCTCAAGCATCTATGTCGAGTTTACATCCGGCTCTACCTTCAGCCATGGCCTGTGGATGTAAAGGTCAAGGCCCTACCTCTGCCTGACAGGCTCAAGTGGTACCTCCTCAGTGAACACAGTGGTACCCTTCAAGATGACATCTGACAGCCTCCAGATAACCCTCTAGCTTTTACCCCAGGCTAAAGGGAACAGGTCCTGTCAGTGGATTTAAGTACCTATGACAACCTTACTGAAGAGGTCTTTGATCCTGGGCAGCTTTGGTCCTGTCTATGAAATAATGTTGCTTGGAGATGAGGCTAGTCTTTTTAATAAGAGCAAGCAGTAAACCAGGTAGAACCCAGCAACCATGATCATTCCGGGAGTAAAGGTGTGGTTTGTCATCTTCCAGAGAGACTGACTGCCTCCCTTCCTTCTGGCAGCGCCCCCAAGTCTCAACCCACACTGGAGAAAGTGACAGGGTTTAGATTTGGGGTAAATGTATTCCCTGTTAATTGAGGGGAACTCAGAGCACTTAACAACAACAACAGAGCATATAGAGAAGCAGGGAGGTGCTAAATCTAGGCACTCTTGGGAGCTTCATAGAAACAATAGAAAGTGGAAGGAAGCAGGGTAGGCCCTATGAGGTGAAGCTAAGCTGAGGCCCTTGCCCCTTCACCCCAGCTTCTGCCACATATACAAGTGCTTTCAGTGAGCTGGGGCAGAAGTCACATAGAGGCCACCAGATTTTCTTCCAGTTGTTAGGAACTTTTGCACCTCTTGGACCAAGTCACTTATAGCCTCCTCCACCAAAGCAGCTCTGTACTGGGGTGGCTGCTCACTTGTGCCAAACCCAGGGTCCAGGACTATGCTTTCTGCGTGAAAAGCAGCCATGTGCATGACCAGGGACAGCCCTTCCCCTAGCATATCATATTGTGAGCGGCTTACCTGATAGAGAAAGCCATCAAGACTGGAAACTAACCCCTCCACAAAGCCATTTCAAAGTCACAGTGGTCACTGAAGTGTGCAGAACTATATGCCTTTGGGAATAAGCTAAGGCAACAACTATATATTTATAAAATTAAACTGGTTTCACTTAATCTTTGTTACTTGTGTTACATTCTTTCTGCCCCAGCCCTTCACTTCAGGATAAAGGATTCCGTGGCAGCCAATAAGAGGAACTGGTAGGCATGAGGAGATACAGCGCTCAGGGTCACTTCCAACCAGAATAGTATTGTCAAAAGGAAGCACTGCTCTAGACTGACTAGGTCCTTCACAGTATAGGGATTCACCCCTTTTATTTTTGATTGAAAATACCTGCCAAGGAGGTGCCATAGGTATAGCAAATGAGGCCACAGATGTCTCCCCTTGCTGCAGACTGTTGTGATGGCCACATTCATCACAGACATCCAAGGTCCCACCACTAAACAGGATTTAGAAACAACATTCCCACGAGCTACACAGTGTGGCCAACTCCATGGTTCTTCTAGCCCAGAGTGTGGGAACACCAGGTTCTACTGTCTGGCTTTATTTCTCCCCAGGAGGCTGCCCTTCTCCGCCCCCTGGGGAAAGACCAGAGGGTTTCAAGCCCACAACAGAGTTCCTCTTCCTGTAAGGTAGCCAGACCTGTGGTTGAAAGGCCAGGTGAAGTTCAGCTGACATCCCTGTAGTTCCACTTTGGAGCACCTGAGAGCCACATAGGCTCCACCCCCTGCCCTTTTTTTTTTTTAAGGCAGGCACGGGGCGGGATCCTTTCATGGCCCCTGGGTCCCTGTCTGCCTTATAAAGTCTGTAGTGAGTGGATGGCAGACAGGTAAATGTAGTGGCCTCTGGCTCTCAAAACTGCCAGCTCCCTTCCCACCCCCACACTGGTCCCTGGGTTTCTCCTGCCAGACCAGCCAGAGCTCATCTGAGGGCAAAGCTGTAGACATGGTAGATCTCATCGGGAAGGTTCTCCTGTCTCTCCTCAGCCAGGAGGCTGAGACCAGCACTTCGGATGATTCTGCGGACCACCTCCAGGTCCCGGCACACACTGCTGTCCACATCATCCAGGATCACACCCTCCTGGGCCATGTTGTCTTTGATGACAATGATACCATTTGGACGCAGCCCCTGCTTGCAGCGCTGTAGGAACTCTGCCAGGTGTTGATCGGTCAGGTGGCCTGGGGAAGGTAAAAGCCCTCGTTACTCATGGAGGGATGCATGTAGGCACGTGCCACGGGGTGCTTCACAGCCACCACGTAAAGTGCTTACCACACAGGATGCCTTACTGACTCACAGCAGACCTGAGGGGTTTTACCAAATCCCATTTCATGTAAGGAATCTGGCTCAGAAGTTTCCAACCTGAGGGCAAAAGCTACTGGGTGTGAGGCTGGATTGAACCCCCAACTGATGCCTTCCCCACCCTGCCCTGACTCACACACCATGCACCCACCTGAATGGACCTGGCCTCAGCTTTCAGTGTTGTAAGGGCTCCCAAACAGAGTCCCTTATGACAGAGGCTTCTTGAGACAAGAGCCCAGAGTTTTCACAAGTAGTCGTGCTACCAGCTTTGGAGGTGGTGGCTGACAGCACAGTGGCCTGCTGAGCTAAGAGGTGCAAGACAGGCTGTCAAAGCGGGGCTTGCTTACTGGGAACAACAGGTACAGCCAATGCTAAGCTTTTCTTATTGTTATTTAAAAGTCCTTTATAAAAACTCCTTTCCACTTTCTTTGAATATAGGAACTGTTCATCAAACTTCTCAACAAAAACTGCCCCCAAATGGGTTGTACTTAGTACTGAGTTCCAGCAAAACATGGAAGGAGACCCTGAGGAGACCCCCCTTTTAGGCTGAGTCTCCAGGACAGTCCTAAGATGCACGGAGGACACAAGAACTCCTGACTGACCTGCTGGTTCCAGGAGCACCAGGCCTGGCTCCCAGGACCTCATGGGGAACCTCAGTGGCTGGAGACATACAGGAAGGTATAAAAGGGAAGCAGAATCCTCACCTATCACCCACTGGATCCAGATAACGTCATAAGAGTTAGGCTCTGGGCTGAAGTCCTGGAGACCACAACAGAAGTAGTTCCTCACCCTCTTGCCCTCCTCACCCAGGTAGGTCTTAGCTTTAACTAGAAAGTCCTCTGTCACATCAACCATATCCACCACTTTGAACAATGGCAAGAGTAGCCGCTTGGTGATCCTTCCAATACCAGCTCCACAGTCCAGGGCATAGGAAGTTCCTGTCTTGTTGGGGCTTTCCTAAAAAGCAGAGAAAGGCAGGCTGTAGGAAAAGATGGAAAAGCCAGAGACCGTGTCACTGCAAAGTCCCAGGAAAGACTCGAATCAGGACTCAGGACCCATTAGCCAGTGCTGGTGGGGACTGTTAACAGATATAAGTAAAGGACACTCTGTCTGGGCTGCATGTTTTTAACAGGAAAGCTGGCTTCCACTTATAGGTACCTCATTAAAATGACAGCACAGAAAATAAAAAGAGCTAAACCAGGAAAAGAACAGAAACAGGACAACTGATTAACACGGAAGTCCAACAAATTCGGAACAACGGAATGTGGATGGAGGAGAGAGCCTGGATGGAGACAGGAGAGGAGGGGCCAGAGGAGGCGCCAAGCCCTGGAGACCCCCGCCTGTACAGAGCAGGGCAGATCTCAGGCTCAAATAACAAGACCCCAGGGAGTCCACATACAGCAGATCAGCTCAGACCTACAGCCCTGAATGCCCACAAACATGGCAGGGGAATCAAAATGGCATCATTGGCCAAACTGAACAGACAGAGAAGCTTCCACATCAGTCCCCAGCGTGACAGCCAGCTTCTGTCTGGTGACCTTAAAGCAAAGTCCACAACCTGGAAGTCTCACCTCCCATCCCACAGGCCTTGGTGTCAAATACAGGCAACCGAAGAACCTGTGGTGCTACATGTTTGCCCCCTGCAGACCGGGTTGCCACCAGAGCCGCAGCCTCTCCTCCTGGAGAGGACACCAGACCTGCCTACCCTCAGAAACCTCTGCAGGAACTTCCGGGAGCTGTTGATGTCGATGCTGGAGATGTGGCCGTACCCCCCTAGCATGCCGTCCACTGTGGGTGGGACTTCTTTCCAATATGTCTTGGCCTTTGAGTAGAATTGTTTCTCATCTTCTATCACCTCGCTTGTCATGTTGTTAACGAACCACGACTCTGCTCGAGTGCTCAACAGCAGAGCCTGTCCTGGGTGAGAAAGACAGGAAAGTCAGCTCAGCCCGGAGACCTGGCAGAAAGGCTCCCCAGGGAGAAAGCCAGTCTCACACCTGGTTATGCTGGTCCCCCAATCTTGCCTGACAGAGGAATGTTCAGTATCTCAAATCTACTCCCGCCCCTGGGATGATATAATACCTTCAGTTTCTTGCAGTCAATTTATTCCACAATGCTGTCTTCATATGAAAGCAAGAGGCCCAAAGTCCTGGCTCCTAATCCTTTAGTGACACTTCTGACCCCATGAGCTAGATAATCACGATCTACATTTAGGGGAAAGGAGGGATCTGAGGTGTCTCCATGCTCCTCTTGCCTTTCTCACTTTCAGGCACAGAAACAAGGTGGGGCCCATTCTTTTACTAACAATGAGCAGGGGACTCTGTGCCAGGTACTCAACCAGGGATACAGCCTGACAGAAAAACTGTGTGTAGACACACATACTTACAATGTTGGTGAGGGTTAGGAAGAAGAAACAAGAGGAAAGCACATACCACAGGAACCTAATTCAGTTGGGAGATGAAGAAAGGTATCCCAGAGGAAGTGACATTGTGGTGAATTATTTAATATGTTTCTTCTACTAGACTTAATCTTTGTAACTCCCACCAACCAACTCTTTTCCAGCTGGGTCTGGGTAAGTGAAGCTGGGAGAAGATACTGCTAAAATGACATGATTCAGCTGTGGATGTTAAGAGTTCATTGTAACTGTGAGAACTTGGAACTCTAACATGGGTATGAACCATTAAAGAAGACCCAGTGGTGGAGTACAACCTTCGGATCCTAAGAACCCTGCACATGAGACTTCAACTCAGGGACAGAAAGCTATGTCAGCAGAGGAGTAGCAGAGGCACAGCAGCAGCAGAACCAAGCGCCAAAGGAAGAGTCAGAACCGTGAGTTTCCCAACCCAGAGAACAAGGAAACCTGGGGTACTCCAGCATTTAATTGGGGG